CGCTTTTGCGCTGAAGCTCCGAGCGGAAGCGATGCTGACGTATGGCGAGCGGAGAGCAGCGGAGGGGGGCGGGGCGCGAGCTCCGTGCGCGCAGGGGGAAACGGCGCGGGAGCGCGCGAGAATTTCTGCTCCGATCACGGCAGATGAACAGTTGGATTTAGGCGTTATATAACAGAGACGATCACACTCAGGAGTCTGTTCAGCCCATGTTCAGGTGTTTTCTGTGCTGATCTGTTCATATTCTGTTCTGTTTTGGCATGTTCTGTTCTTTTTTTCCGTTTTATTCTGTTCCTTTTTGTTTTAATCTATTCTGTTTTGTTCCACTGTACTGTGTTCCTTTCAGTTCTAGATAGAGGGGTGTATGGGGGCTTGTGTATAATAAAGACAGCGCATAGAGAGAGAGAGAGAGAGAGAGAGAGAGAGAGAGAGAGCGGGGCAGAAACACAGTGGCAGAGCATAAGAGAGAAAGAGAGAGAGAAATAAGGAGTCAGTGAGAGAAGCATGGAGAGTGAGAGAAACAGTGAGAGAGATAGAGAGAGACAGAGAGAGAGAGAGTGAGAGAGAGAGAGAAGAGAGGAGAGAAAGAGGCAGACAGTGAAATAGAGAGGAGAGAAAGTGGAAAACAGAGAGAGAGAGGGGAGAGAGAAAGAGGCAGACAGAGAGAGAGAGAGAGAGGATATATATATGCTGTATTATTAACGCCCAAATACAGGCCTTCCTTACCAAACACAGTGTCTTGAGTAAGAGTCAGATTGGCTTTTTACCAAATCACCGCACTACCGATCATATTTACACCCTACACACCCTAATCAACCAGCACGTCCACCAAAACAGCAACGGTAAAATATTTGCATGTTTTGTTGATTTTAAGAAAGCTTTTGATTCCATTTGGCACACTGGATTATTCTATCAGACTCTACAATGTGGTGTAGGGGGTAAAGTATATGACATCATCAAGTCCATATATCTGAACAACAAGTGTGGAATTAAACTCGGCGACAAAAGAACAGAGTACTTCACTCAGGGGCGCGGGGTGAGACAGGGCTGCAGCTTGAGTCCAACCCTGTTCAACATTTATATAAACGAGTTAGCGGTGTTACTGGAACAATCAGCAGCTTCTGGACTCACCCTAAACCACACGGAAGTGAAATTCCTGCTCTATGCAGATGGCCTGGTGCTGCTGTCACCCACAGAACAAGGGCTACAGCAGCACCTGGACCTGCTGGAGCAGTTCTGTCAGAACTGGGCCCTGACAGTCAATCTGGACAAAACTAGAATAGTAATCTTCCAGAAAAAAGCCAGATCTCAGGAAAACAGACACCTTTTCACTCTAGGAAACACCACCCTAGAGCACTCGTTACGTTATGATTACCTAGGACTGTAAATCAGTGCCTCAGGAAACTTTGATCTGGGAGTGAATCATCAGGAAACAATTCCACAAAACAGACATCCCAATCAAAATCTGGTGTAAAATTTTTGATAGTGTAATTGCGCCCATTGCGCTATATGGAAGTGAGGTATGGGGTCCACTCAGTACGTATGACTACACTAGATGGGACAAGCATCCCACAGAGTCCCTGCATGCAGAATTCTGCAGAAATATATTAAAAGTTCAACGAAAAACACCAACAAATGCATGCAGGGCAGAATTAGGCCGATTTTCACTGATTATACCCATTCAGAAAAGAGCTTTAAAATTCTGGCAGCATCTAAAATTCAGTAATCCAAATTCACTACAATATAAAGCACTTAAAACCCAAGAGCTCAGCCCTAAACCCAGTCCCCTCTGTCAGCTGGTTCTGAGACTAACTAACCCACTGACCCCTAACACACAGCAGACCAAAGTCCAATCAGAGTAAACCAAATTATCAGACACAGTAAAAACACCTATCTGGAACATTGGGACAGCGAAACCAGAACTCAGTCTAAATTACAGAACTATCAGGCCCTAAACAGAGAGTATGAATTGGCAGAGTATCTCTTCACCGTCAGAGACCCACAGCAGAGACAGATCCTGACCAAGTACAGGCTCAGTGACCACAGTCTGGCCATAGAAATGGGCAGATATAAAAAATCCTGGCTGCCCAGAGAGAGAAGACTGTGCGGTCACTGTGAGAGCGGTGAGGTCGAGACAGAGCTGCACTTCCTCCTTCAGTGTGAAAAATTCAAATTTGCACGAAACGAAAAAAAATCATAATAAAATTAAAAAACATTCTCCCAAATTTTGAAATTCTAACAGAATCTGAAAAACTACCAATCTTCCTTGGAGAAGGCAGCACAGCATCTCTCGCTGCGAAAATATGTGGCAACTTGTCACATCCTGAGGGACAGTAACACACTCCACACCCCTACCTCCCTGACCCCCCAAACCCTTCACTGTATATATGTTAAATAGAGAGAGAGAGAGGAGGGTAAGAGGCAGACAGTGAAATAGAGAGAAAGAAGCAGACCATCAGAGAGAAAGAGAGAGCCAGACAGTGAGCGAGAGAGAGAGAGAGAGAGAGGAGAGAGAGAGACAGGCAGTAAGTGAGGAGAGAGAGAGAGGCAGGCAGTAAGTGAATGAGTGAGTGAAAGAGAGAGGCCGACAGTCAGAGATAGAGAGAGATACAGAGTGAGACAATGTGTGAGAGAGAAAGAGAGATTGAAGAGAGGAAGAGAGGCAGACATCTGATCAAGCAAGCAAGCGAGTGAGTGAGTGAGTGAGTGAGTGAAAGGGAGAGGCAGACAGTCAGAGTGAGGAGAGAAAAAGGCAGACAGTGAGAGAGAGAGAGATAGACAGAGAGAGATTGAGGAGAGGAAGAGAGGCAGACATTGACTGAGTGATTGATTTAGTAAGTGAGCGAAAGAGAGGCAGACAGTGAGTGAGTGTGTGAAAGAGAGGCGGATAGTGAGTGAGTGTGTGAAAGAGAGAGACAGTGAGTGAGTGAGTGAGTGAGTGAGTGAAAGAGAGGCAGACAGTGAGTGAGTGTATGAAAGAGAGAGACAGTGAGTGAGTGAGTGAGTGAGTGAAAGAGAGCCAGACAGTGAGTGAGTGAGTGAAAGAGAGCCAGACAGTGCGTGAGTAAGTGAGTGAGAGAGAGACAGACAGTGAGCAAGTAAGTGAGAGAGAGGCAGACAGTGAGTGAGTGTGCGAAAGAGAGGTAGACAGTGAGTGAGTGAGTGAGTGAGAGAGAGACAGACAGTGAGCGAGTGAGTGAGAGAGAGGCAGACAGTGAGTGAGTGTGTGAAAGAGAGGCGCACAGTGAGTGAGTGTGTGAAAGAGAGAGACACTGAGTGAGTGAGTGAAAGAGAGGCAGACAGTGAGTGAGTGTGTGAAAGAGAGAGACAGTGAGTGAGTGAGTGAGTGAGTGAAAGAGAGCCAGACAGTGAGTGAGTGAGTGAAAGAGAGGCAGACAGTGAGTGAGTGTATGAAAGAGAGAGACAGTGAGTGAGTGAGTGAGTGAAAGAGAGGCAGACAGTGAGTGAGTGAGTGAAAGAGAGAGACAGGGAGTGAGTGAGTGAAAGAGAGACAGGGAGTGAGTGAGTGAGTGAAAGAGAGGTAGACAGTGAGTGAGTGTGTGAAAGAGAGGCAGACAGTGAGTGAGTGAGTGAGTGAAAGAGAGCCAGACAGTGAGTGAGTGTGGGAAAGAGAGGCAGACAGTGAGTGAGTGAGCGAGTGAAAGAGAGCCAGACAGTGAGTGAGTGTATGAAAGAGAGACAGACAGTGAGCGAGTGAGTGAGAGAGAGACAGACAGTCGGAGAGAGGAGAGAGAGAGAGAAACAGAGAGACCGTGTATGAGACAGAGAGACAGGGTGAGGAGAGAAAGAGGCAGACAGAGAGAGAGAGAGAGGGAGAGAGAGAGAGAGAGAGAGAGAGAGAGGGCGATAGAGGCAGTGGATGGGGTTTAGCAGCGAGATAAGCGTATAATTGCTAACATGTGTAACTACATATGCTCAAAGCCACAACTTTGATTAGTTAACTACATGAAAGCTCCGCTTGTGGTGGCTCTTTAACTGCACTCTTTATTCTCCACAGGAGGCTAGCAGAGGCCGGAACACAGTTTACTGCACACAAGATTAACTTTCCATTGCTCTGGTAGAAACAGACACACAGAAAGTTGTGCATCTTAATCTTCAGCACAGATTCAGTATCTCATTCATTAGAGGCAAAACGATTTACTTCAGCTTGTTTTAATAAAGAGTTTTTAAATGAACAACCAGACACAGTAAAACACAGTATAACACTGACTGGCCAACAGTTTTTATGGATACAAGACACATATTTTCCTTTTAACAAACATTTAAATACACAACAATGATGCAAAAAAAAACTTAACAAACAATGAAGGTATTTAACAGCAGTAGGCGTTGCACGGCACATCATAGAGTGGTGAGAAAATTACAGCTTACTGTGGTCCTATATTAACCCTAATGTGCAGACACATTGAAATGCCTATAGGAGCCAGAACAAGATGCTTGAAACACGTGACACTATGTAAATGATACCTTTAAACACCAACTCAATGACCCAACACAAAGATGAATAACTTAATATACTTAGACAAAGGTCGTGCATCATGTACAGAGTTTGGTCATTTGAATATATATTGATGCTGTCAGATAATATCATGTATCTCCAAATGGTAACTTCACATAAAAGACTAATTTCACCAATTGTTTTTATATTTCTGTCAGACGTCTGGTTCCTTTCACTACAAGGTTTCTCTAGAACACATCATTTCACATCAAACCACTCTGACTTTGTTTACATCTTCACAATTTAACTATGCAGAAATTTTGGAAAATAGGTGGAGTTCCCCTTCAATGTTTAATGTAATTTAATGCAACAAGATTTTATTCTAAGTAATTTTTAAGCATTTTTGATCATTACATTTCCACATAATATAAAGGACAGCTAGTGCTTTCAAATGATGTAAAAAAAAATTAAAATAATAATAATAATAATAATAATAATAATTAATTAATAAATCAAAGGGAGATAAAAGAGTTTTGTCCCAACAGTGATGATATGTTGTTTTTCTTCTTGAAGATGTTGGTTTACTGTTATGGTTAAGCTTTAGAACACTAGAGTTATTGCTAATGTTTTGGTATACTATTCAAATGTAATTACATAGTTATATAGTTAATTACATTGTTAATAAAGTAATGAAATACATTTACATTATATTTACATTTTGTATTGAGAACACTTGTATTGAGACATTTTCCTTCATTTTTATCGATGTCAACAAATGGCATGTATAAAAACATACAGGTCTTTATACAGATGTTTTTTCTTTGTTTCTGCAAAGCTGCAGTAACTTTTCAGATTTTAATCATAATCGAAATCTCCTATTCTATTTTTTTCAATGGAAAGTTTAGTATCTATACTTTGAACAGGATTTCCCTGCTTGTTTCAATGAGCTATAAGTGAAAATAATTGATACCGAGTTGCACCGTGCTTTTGCTAGCACTGGCAGTAACTATGGCAATACAAGAGTTAAAGTCTTCTTTCCAAAGTCCCCTTTAAATACAAAAAAAACAATATTAATACAGCAGCCAAAAATACAGTAATTTTCTGTATGATTATAGTGTGAGTCATTGTTGATCAATGTAATCAATGAAGTGTGGTTTGTATTAACAGTCAATGAAGATTTTAAGTGATAGACAAGTAAACAAAGAAGGACAGTAACCTTCAGAGAAAGGATGGAATGAAGTGGTCAGAGTGGAACATCTGCTTTATAGTCACACTGCAGTGCAGTCCAAAGACCCATTCCTTGTAGTGACCCATTCAGTGTCAGGCCATAGCTTCTTTACACAAACCTCAGGCGTGTCCATAGCCAGTGCTCATCAGTGTAATCAGTTTCTCTTGCAGCATCAGCAAAAACGCATGTTGTAAAAATGTATCAGGATCAGTTGTAGCTGGCTTTGCGTAGTGCTGTGCGATCTGTAGGGACGTTGTGGAGGTCAGGGTTTTTGTACAGGTTACTGGTTCCCGTGCTGTTCAACAGTGAACCCGAATAAAACCAACAGCACAAACATGACTGGGGGAGAGAGAGAGAGAGAGATTCAAAATGAGGAAAACTGCCTGAGTTCAACTGATTTTGGAGCTTTTCTGTAGGTCCATTCATCATGAAATTTTGGCATGTTGTGAAGGCCCATGGGCATTTTCGAATTTTGTAAAAAAGTACAAAATGACAAAAATTTAGATATGAGGTTTTATTCTGACAGCAGTGATTTTTGAATCATCACTTCAGATGTTTTCCTTTGGCTATAATGTTAGGAAGTAGTAAAAACAGAAAAAAATGAAATCAGGTTTTTCTTCCTATAAATCCTTAAAGTTCTTTTTATAAAACAAAACTGAACATACAACACCCTTTCATCATATTCAAACCATAATAAAATATCTCCTCTACCACTTTTAAAGAAATGTGGAATCAATTAAACTATTTAGATTCACATTTTCCATAGGCCTTCATCACAAGTGAGAAATGAAATATTTCTAAGGAGGGTAAGAGGTAAACCATAAAGCAGAAAGAAAAAGAGATGAAGAGAGGAATGAGAGATGTAAAGTGGTAAAAGGGTGAGAGATAAGGGGATAAAGAAGGAGTATCTGTACCTTGAAGCAATTTTTAAACTTCTTGCTCACAAAACAGAGTATGATGGGGTTGATGCAGGAGTTTATGGTTGCCAGATTGATGCTGAAGTAATCAAATACCAGCAAGAAACTAACACACACAAACACACACACAGAGGGGAGAGAGAGAGAGAGAGAGAGAGAGACAATATATCAACACTGGGATTCACAGAAGAAGTGATAAAACACTCCAAATTCATGGCACTTGGGGGAATTCCTTTAATTGTTCACAGTAGTGGTAATAGGAACCAGATGGCTAAAGAGTTTAATGCCTCTAAAAGCTCCCTCACAGAAAGCTAGTACATGAAATGGTTGTGAACACACTGCTTGATGTCTAAGATATTTTTATGAGTTTTGAGATACATATTTGTCCTGAAATGTATTTTTTGACGTTCATGATAGAGACGTACATGCAGGGTGCTGTTATGCAAACAAGTGTGCAAGAGAAAACTTATTTGGCACAATTTTACCATCACCAACGTTACAGATAAATAACTCAGAAGACTCGTGTATGTTCACTGGTCACTTTGGATAGTAAACAATATGGTCATATTTGTGTTGTAGACATCAACCTCTGGTTCCTATCACCACCACTGTGAAATCTGAGGAAGTATGTTTCTCTACAACGTACCATTTCACATCAGATCACTCAGAATGACTGTTTACATTTCAACTAATTAATTATTGGTGACTTGTGAAACTTCAAAGTTGGTGGTACTGGACTTTAATGTCATCTATTGCATCATTTCAGTCCTATAGTCAAGCACCATGGATAAAAATAGTGGTGTAGTAAAGAAGAGAAACCCCTTTGATTTAAAATTAACTTTTAAAAGAAGCAGCTGCCCATTGGCTTCTATTTTAAGTTGGTTTAGAGTCTAAGATTTTCTGTTCTTTGGTCAAAATGAATGTATATAGTAATAAACTGTATGATACAGATGGAGATTAGGCTGAAACTTGCTGGAGAATCTTATTAGTCTGTGTATGTGTATGCGTATGTGTGTCTTACTTAAGCAGATCACAGCGTCCAGTGTCCTCTGCAGTGTAAGCCATTTTCTTCAGAATGCGGCTCAGGTGCAGAGGGAACCAGCACAGAGCAAAGATCAGCACCAGAGAAAACACTACCTTCGCTACCTCACGCCTCTGCCAACACACACACACACAACTCATTTACAAATAATTCATCTCAATGCAGCACCATTTTGAAGTGTTTCTTAAAGAAGATTCACTGAATCACTTCTAAATGATTCACTCCTTTGAGGTATTTACAATGGACAGTTCACTGAATCATCTCTACATAATTAACTTCTTTGAGATATGTTTAAAAAAGCTGATTCAATGAATCATCCCGGAGGGACTCACCTGTTTGAGGTGTTCACTCAAAGCGATTCTCAGGCTTCCTTTCCTGTGATTCAGCATCTCGCAGGTCATCAGAGTGTAGAAGAAGGCTGTACATAACAGCGGCATGCAGAAATAAAAGCCAAACAACCACCAGTCCTTTATATTTCTGTAAAACTGCAGAGACACACACAAAAACACACTTATGTGGGAATGGTGTATAGTTTTAAGCAGTGGTTTCACAAAGTATTGCAATATTGTACCTAGGTGAAGTCAGGCGTGGATTTAGTGATTCTGGGGCTCCAGGCAAAAGACAGTACACTTTTTTAATTCTTAAACAAGTGACGTAACTGTGTACACTGCAGAAAAGGATATCATTATATTTAATTTTAAGTCTAATATTTCTTGTTTTGAGAATATTATTACATTATTTAACTTCTAGACATTTTTTACTTGAAAAATTTTACTAAGTGAACTTTTCTCACTATATTGGCTGATAATTTTGCTTGCTGTCCAAAATACTATAAATATTCTAAATTAACTCTCTTCCACGGTTGTTTTCATGACTGGACTGATAGCATTTGCTGTGATGTGGGGCTAATGGATGGTAGAACATTTAGAAGGTAGACATCAAAAGTCAAATTGAGATGACAAACTCTGTTTTGTCAACATTTGTGTCAACAATTATGAACACAGTTGTTACAGTAGTCCATCTGAGGGGTCTTTGCCCCCTCATGCATCTTAAACTTCATCACTATTCAGTTCAATTTGTTAAATGTGGTGCTATTCACAGTTGGAGTTGTTTGCAAACGTTTGAGCACCCCTGTTAAATGACGTTTTTTTTTTATTTTAAAAATGAGCATGTTTTCTACAAGGAACACATATAGTTATCAAGAAACTTTTTTGTGTACAATCTATATTTATTTGCTGAGTTTCCTATATGTTTAATTCAGTGAATAAACAGTAACTGTGCATTAGTCCACTGAGAACATGAATGTAACTGGAAAAAGCATTTATAAAATAGTGAAATATAGACAATAAAAACAATACACACAGTATTTGTTTGACTTTAAAAAATGGCTTGAGAATATTACTTTTGGACAAAAAAATTAATGCATGCTTTTTTGCAGTGGTTCTCAAACTGGTCCTCAGGGGCTCCCAGAAGACTGGTTTGAGAACCACTGCTATACTGAATATTACAATAAAAGGTTATATCTTTTTTTATTTTAAATGCGAGGCAATTAATCCCTTAAATGGCCAGGGCCTGCTGGTGGCCCCAAAGTTTTATTTGTTTTATAACAAGCTGACTTGTTAAGGGGTTAATTCATCACCTCCAGACTGATGCATTATGATGCCTCTGTGTAGTTTTCTACTGTACTTACAATTATAAACTTTGTCTCTGCTTTGAGCATGCAGGTATGCGCGGTCACATTGTTGTGCTCGAAGCTGATTATGTCAAAGGCCATAGCTTCTGGAATGGCCAACACAATGGACAGCAACCAGATACACACGATCTCCACTGCAGTTGAAGAAGGGATGCCTACACCCTGCACACGACTCCACGAGGCCACAGCACGGTACCTGCACACACACACACACACACACACACACACAAACATATATATGCATCAATAATAACATTCACACAGAACTTCTAAGGGCTTGGGTGTTTTCTTTGCTCATTTTTAGGACAAAAATCCCTAAAATCAGGAAACTAGAGTAAAAACAGGGCAGACCGAAAGTGGTCCAAGAAGAAAGTCCAGTCACAAAAGCTCCACAAGTCTTCATTTAAACTGAAAGGGCAAAAACATTTCTTCTTGGCTACTGAGTTTAAGGTTAATGTGAGTTTTAGAAAATTTGTACTATGCATAGCTTCTTATAAATATATCATGCATATAGGACAAATGATTATTGCATATACAGTCCTGCATAAAAGTATGAGCCTGCCCTTTTGTTTGGAATGTCAAAAAGTTATTTCATTTATTTACTTATTATTTATTTCAAAATATCACACAAAAGCCTTCAAACCTTAAGTAAAATATCAAATCTATCAATATTCAAATTATCCATTCTTTATTTTTGTGCACCTCGTGCCACTTTAACTCTTACATCCTTACATCCAATATTAATCCTTACATCCAATATTAAACCAGCAAGTTACAGTTGTGTCCTCCCGACAAAAGCTGCTTTCAAAGCTGACACTGACACTGTGTTCCTCTTCAAAGAGACACTAATATTCACACAAGCAGCTATTAGAAATCTATTAGAGATATGTAAATGGTATTGTAGATATATATCAATAATAATTTATATCTATATCTAATCTACTTTGCATTACTGTTGCTAGGCTGTCCCTATATTATCCTAGGTGGTTGCCAAAGGTGCTGCTAGGCCAGTGTTTTAGTATTCCAGGTGGTTGCTCTAGTGTTGCTAGGGCATAGATGTGGTCTTCCAGGTGATGGCTAAAGTCTTGCTAGGGCATAGCTATGGTATCCCAAGTGGTTGTTATAATGTTGCTAGGTCGTTCCCACGCTGTCCTATGTGGTTGCTAATGTTCTGCTAGAAGTTTGCTATGGTATCCAAGGAGGTTGCTAAGTTGTTGCAAGGCTGTTGTGATGGTGTGTGTGTGTGTGTGTGTGTGTGTGTGTGTTTTACCTGTCCACACTCAGGGCGCACAGGTTGAGCACTGTTATCCCAACAGAAGCCTTTTGAAGGAATGGAAACAGCTTACACAGGAAAAAGCCAAACGGCTGGTCTGCAAATGGCCACTGCATCGCCAACAACTGCACAGAAGCACAGCCATAAAATACACCCATTTAAAATTCTATCTTTGTTTCAGTGACATGTTATAACACCAGCAAATTCAGAGACATACTCACAGTCTGTATTCAAGTGGGAACCTACTGTCATATACCAAAGGTGAAAAATACCTGGTCAAATGACATGTTTTGTTGATTTTTTAGGTGTACATAAGTCATCCCCCCCTCCCTCCAGAGAACAAAGTTAAATATGGAATTTTTCAACTGGCAGATTTTAACATCAAAATATTGCACAGTCCACATTTTATGTTTTATTACTTTTTTCACATATACTAAATTCAGCATATGAACAGTGATTGTGCATTGAAATGTGCAGAAGTGTGTTCTCTGGGGATGTCCTAACATTTTCACTTAAGAAATCAACAGAACATGTCATTTGACCAGGGCGCCCAAACTTTTGCATATGACTGTGCTAGACTTGGACTAGAGGTGTCAAACTGAGCTCCATCTGGGCCACAGCTCTGCAGAGTTTATCAGTCTGCCTAAGTAAATAATCCTGATTCAGCTCATCATCATCTAATACGACCTTCATGACTTGAATTGGGAGTGTTAGCAGATGGAAAAATGCTAATCTCTGCAGAACTATGGCTCAAAAAAAACAAGTTTGACATCTCTGACCTGGACAAATGGGATTCCATTTAAGGAGAATGAACTGATGCGTATGTGTGTGTGTTATGGTATGTGTTACAATGTGTGTGCTGAGTGGTGCACTGATAGATGTTCCAAAATAACAATGTTAGGCTGACCTACTGCTGAGATAACTTCAGTATCAGTAGCAGTTAGTGATGGTTAAAAAGCACAGACAGTTAGAGATGGTGAGGTAATACCAGCTTTGCCTCATTAGGCCCTCATGTACCTTTACATGCACAGTGAAGTTTGTCAGTACTCTTGAGTTTGAATCTATTTGTGTTTGTGTGTGTTAGGTCCACAGAATATATCATTTGTTAACCTTTTGATGGTCATTAAGTACAAGTTAGTTCTCTGAGGAGAAGTAAGATAATCCATGTGTATGTGAAAGTAGAAAGTTAAAAAAATAATAATAATTAAAAACAGGACTTTTTCAAAATGGAAGTTCAAAAAAGGTTATCAGAGAAAGATTCAGAGAAATTGGACCTCTTAACAACCACACAGGACCTGGTAGAAAACCAAGTCTGTTATCATCAGATAAACAGCACTTAAGCATTCATCTTTAAGACAGAGGAGAAAACTGAGCACCGCTTTTGCTTCATTTCGAGAAGTCAGAGAAAATATACAAACCCATAACTTGGTAAAACGCCAAGTTTAGTGTTTTATCAGGACTGTAAAATGTGGTAAGTTTACTCACATTTGTGAACAAAGCCCTAATGAAGCAGGTTCAACTTAGATTTTAGAGTTTCAGGTTACCTCGCTTTACAACTTGCTCTGTTAATCCAGGTATGGATGCACAGGCTGTGATTAATCTCGTGTGTGCACATGAATGCATGGTGTTTTTGACAAACTGCCAGTGGCGTGAAACATGGACTGTTGAAATGAAAAATAAATCAAACTACTTGAATATGCAGAAAGAAAAACATTTACAATGGTAAAAAAGTGAAAATGTTGTCTCGACCGCCACCAGGGTTAGACTGAACTAAGCTTAATGTTAATGCTGGATAAGCAAGACCCCAGGATCCAGAATGATAAATTATAACTTATTAGAATCTCTCATGAGCATCCAGTCATCAGCAATACACAACTAGCCAGTTAAACATTTATATCATTTAGACAACTTGTGGTGGTCAATGTAATTAGCCTCTAATTTAAGATAGCAAGATGGGTCCCCCAAAAAAATCCTGTTTAGGGCCCCCAAAACACTAGCTGGCCATGATGTTTCAGCTTCCATTTCATGCCCTTTTCTTGCACAACTCTAGCCTTGAGCCAGCTTGATTGAATAAAACTCAAAATGCCAAAAATCCTACTTTATAGACGATGATGGGGATATCAATGGCGATGTAGATGAGGTCCCCCAGGGCCAAGCTGGCGATGAGGGCGTTGGGCCCATTCCTCATGATCTTGTTCTGGCAGATGATGCTCAGCAGGGTGGCATTGCCCACCATGCCCACCACGAAGATAATGCAGGACAACACCGTGTTCACATACTTTAACACTGGTTTCATGGCCGTCACCCGCGAGCAGGAGGGTGGCGGGGGAGAAGAACGGGCAAGAGCCGAACCATTCCCAAGAACAAAGGATGAAGAAGGGGAGGAGGAGTGTGAGGAGGCATGAAGAGTGCTTTTCAGGATTGGGGGTCATGTCATTTGACCTCTCCAGCTCCAAGAGGAGGGGCAGGGGTGAGAGGGTAGCATGGATGGCTGCGGGGTCATTGGAGAACAGGAAGTCATTGGAGGAGTTTGATTGGCAGTAGCCCCGGCTCATCAGCAAGCAGGATATGGCTGTTATTAACGCCGTGACCCAGGCCATGGTGGGACACCTCAGTTAATGGTAGTCCAGGAGTGCCAGAGAAGATGTTTTACCAAACTTCAGCTAGAGGAGAAAGAGAAAAATATGGTCAGTCAGTCAAGCATAGGTCAATCAGGGAACTTTCCTCTGTTGTTATATTACAATGATCCTGCTGAGTTCATTCACAGATCAGATTACTAGATTTACAATGGAACAATTTCATTTGAATATAGATGATTATATTGAAAATATTATGATTTCTGAAATTCTTCTTCTAATATATTGAACAAAATTTCAAATTTCACCTAAAGGAAAAATGTTATGATGACCCTTGCTGATTGGTCATGATCATTGTTTCTGAGACTAGAACAAATTATTGAAAGTCTTTAACGAAATTTCTACATAATCACAGTCGTGTGCAAAGGTTTGAACCAACCCGGTCAAATTAGCCTACAAGTTTTAATGGGTTTGTGAGTAAAAACAAGTTAACAAGTCTAGTTTAAGTTAGCAAACTTAAAAATTGCATTTTTCTGCAAATGTTGAGTTTAACACATTGGGAAAAAAATAGTTTTGGACAGGCCACATTTTTCTCCCAAGGGGCTCAGAAGGTAAACAATAAATATGCATTCAAATGTGCAGAAGTATGTTCTAGAGTTTCCAAAACTGGAGTTCAAAGAATGATATCAGGGAAAGATTCAGAGAAAGTGGGCCTCCTAACAACCACACAAGACCTGGTGGACCACTGAAACCGTCACCATCAGATAAACAGCACAGGTGTAAACTTATTTTTACTTCAACCGTTAGCAAAACATGTAATTTGACCAGAGGTGTTCAAATGCTAAATGTTTAAGATATAAACAAAGTCAGAAAACAGAGTTTGATGTGAAATGCCTGTTCTAGAGAAACTTACAGAGAAAGAATTGTTCACAGTGGTGAAGGGAAACTATAAAATGGTAGCTTTTTTCAACTCTTTTGACAATATTATTTACATATCAAATAAATACAACAATATTATTTAGAAATCACACATTTAAGAGAAAGATATGATGGCAAAAATAGGCACTTTTTGCATTCCATCCATTCATGGTGAAGAGGTACATGCAGAGTGTTGTGAGGGAAAACAGTACCCAAAGAAAACTTACTTTTTTAGATTTACCCCAATTTTACCATCAGTAACATTGCTTATACATATATAAACTCACAAGATACATTGTACAATGTTAAAAAAATGAAAGTCAGCTCAACCTAAAAGTGCAAGATAACTGATTATACTGCTTATCTTGAATTAACCCCTTAAATATTCAGGGCCCACCAGCAGGCCCAAAGTTTTATTACACACTTCTATAACCAAAGAATAACTCAGACAGTTTGTATTGGAGTCCCTGTAGTTACTGAATAATAAGCTTTAGTATGTAAAAAGCCCGGGGATTTTAAGGGGGTTACTCAACTGAAGGACGCTAGAGTTCACCCATTTCAAACCTCTAAGCTTCTAAGTTTAGTTAAAAATTCTCCAAACTCACATTTTTTAGTTCTGCATCTCAGTTAGGTAAAATTATTGAATGCATGTGATTTTCCCACTTATTGGGACTCCTTCCATCACACAATCCCACCTGACAATCTCTTCTCTCGGGGTCCCACTTACAAATGGCTGTGACATCACTGGAGTGAATGCGTATTCCATTGCAACACTAGCAAGCTCCTGAAATCCCTCAGATTTCTGTGTCTTTAAATGTTCAATACAGTGTAAAAAAATTGTTGCTTTTAAAAGTTATGTAGCGCAGCTGTCCAATGATTCATTCTAGTAGTAGGAGATTGTGAGTTTCCCATTGATGTGTCACTGTGCACATCTAGAAGCCCAAGAAGAGAAAATGCCTGGTGAGAATGTGTAATGGAAAGAGTCTCAGCTAGTGGGGAAACTGATTGTAAATTGCTTACTTAACTGAGAAACTAGAAATGAGAGAATTCTGTAAAGCTGTGTAAACAGTTGCCTTGCAATTTGATAAACAAAATGGCTATATTTGTAGGTATCGTGACCCCTGGTTCCTATCAACACCACTGGAAAGAAATCAGAGTCAGTACGTTTCTCTACAATGAACCATTTCACACCAAACCATTCTGACTTTGTTTACATCTCAACGATTGAATTATGAACTGAAATATGAATTTTGGTGGAATTCTCCTTTAAGAATCCACAATGCAGGTTAATATAAACGTATTTTAAGCTGTTGATTATATTCCAGAAGATAGTCATCTTTTGGAACATAGTTCTTTTCTAGTATAACGCTGTAATGAGCCTGTTCTTACATTTCGTGATCTCTATCTCTGAGACCAAAACAAATTACAAGCTATAAAGCAATGTAAATATTGAGCTACACTGCAAATATTTTTACTCAGATTCCACGAATTACAATCACAGCGCACAACAAAGTGAAGGAGTTCATATTGGGTGAGTGGTGCAGAGACACCAGATGGTTTCTCTTCAGAGGAAATAACAGTCATTTTGTAGCAGTTAGTGAGAAAGAGATGGGGAGATAAGGAGCGGAAAGATGGACAATTAATAGAGGAATAAACATCGTTCTGCTTTAATGTGCGTCAGAGGGTGAGAGAGAAAAGAGAGAGCGAGGAGAAAACAGATAAGAAAAGCTGGCAAAGAGAAAGAAAGAATTCCTACAGTAGTTTACTACTTCTGCAGTTGTTTACTATTTGCAGATGTAACATTATGTTATACGTGTCTGAGCATTAACTCACTGACTAATTAGCGTTTATTAGAAACAGTGTTGCTGAAACATGTCAGGCAGAAACTTGTTTCCATTTTTGCCATTATATAATTTGCAAACACCAGCTGCCTTTACACTGTGTGAAAGTTTATTAATGAATGGATGGACAGAAATGATCATAATTACTTGGACTAAAAATTTTTGATGTTAACTTTCATTTTTTTTTTTCCCTTCCCCTATAAAGTTACCATTTTGGAGATGTGAGGTTTTGTTCCAACAGTGACAATATTATGTACACCGTTAAGAATCATCATTCAAAAGTTCAGAATCTGTGTTTTCAATGACATAAACCAAATTATGCAGAAACATATATGAAATGGTGGGAATAAGGTTTGAATAAATTTAACATTCATAATGTCTCGTATATCAAAAGTAAGTTCAGTAAGAAATACTGCATGAAACATCTAAAAATGCTCTGGTTGTGTAAAATATTTTGTTTTTTTTACTGAATATTTTTTACGAGTAATTAAGCAAAAGTAAGCATTTTTATCTGTACAACCAACCTTCAACCTACAAAACTTTGGGTCACACTTTATTTGGATGATCCTTTATAAAAGATCTACAGATACTTATTTTACTAACAAACTTTCTGGTGATTAGATTATCAACATTAAGGTTATGGTTAGGGTTAGGTTTAAGGTTAGGGTTAGATTTAATAGAATGTTTCACACACAACTTCAAGTTCAGTTGCCTTTAATAGACATTTAGTTGAATGTTAGTTAAAGATAGACTGAGCATCTACAAAGCATCTACAGTGGACCATCCAAATAAAGTGTTACCAAACTTTGTTTTGTGCACCTACCGATCGTGAGCCATTCAGCCTAAAGCAGACTGCATACAAATGTTACAGCATAGCCCATAGATAGGTTTCAGTCTAACAGATGGACTGGGTTAGTTAAAACTGATGTTGTCTGAACCAAGTTTTCCAAATTAAATACACAAAAATAGTCATCAGAAAAAACATGATTCATGAAAAGAGGATGAGTCAAAGATGTCAAACTCTTTTGTTACCACAAAGTAGAAGAACTATCAGAATGACACAATTAAAATTGATGACATCTGTAATATGTTTTTTAATGAATAGATTGAAAAACAAACTATATTAACAATTGTATTTGTGAATTTTTTACATAGATAAAAATAGTGCTACAGAAGGCAATAATATATTATGGGTGTAAATTCTATGACTTTAAGTCAATTCAGTTACCTAAGAAAAAAACTTTATGGCGATTAAATTTGCTTTAATGGTGCAAAAACAGTGAATACCTGTCCAGTTGCTGTTACAATACACAGACAAGGTTGCTATGGAAATATGAGAAGCTCTTTCTACTTAAATCTGTTTAACTGCATGATCTATCCATGTTGCGTTAGGTTGTGTCCCACTCTCCACTACATCCCATACAAGTTATTGTTGTAGATATGAAATAACAAAAAAAGGTTTAAGATGACAAGTGATTCCAAACTTTGGAACAGTTAGTGTAAATGTCTTTCACTCACCTTATAGAAGTTTCAGGCCAGCGTCTTTCAGCTATAGTGAAGTAAATATGTCTCCTTTGGGCCACGCTATGGAGCAAAATGAGTTTCTGTGTGTGTTGACAGTTGAAGCAGGACAGAAGTTAAACTGCACAACGCCCCTTATAGGACCCTCCCTCTCTGTCTTTTTAACCTCTCTCTCTCTCTTTCTCTCTCTCTCTCCCTCTCTCTCTCTCTTATCTGTGGGATGTGGTTTTCCTGGCATGTTCTTATTTCACATTTTACATACTGGAAGACCCCCATCCCCCTCAACCACACAGACACACAGTAATATACTCTAATTCTCTTCATAACTGCACCCTCCTCGATTAAATATGAACCAGAAACTGTTTGAAGCTCGTTGCTCATTTCAAGTTCAGTACAACCACATGCAGAGTAAAGTGAAACACACATTTCATTAAGTCAAAAACTTTCAAGCTCACAATAAAACACAACAAAGAAACTTTGAGACAGACAGATCTCACTTTACAACAGATTAGATCAAGATTAGCTAATTAGTTAGTTGTTTAGAAGTTGCAAGTTCTTTTTTTGCTATGTTATTCAAATATAGTTGCACAATTACATATTCAATTACATAGTAGTTATGCAATGTACTACATTTACATATATTTTACATACTATATCAATAACTTTGAGTCTGAACTTCTGACTTCTTGTCTCTCTTTCAACATCAAGAAATGAAGACTTTTTCTTCTGGCAAAACAAGACAATAACATTCCATCAAATTCAATCATGATAAAATATATATTTTTAACTCAAATATATAACATTGATTAAAAGTATAAAATCCACACTTTGGCCGTAACTATTCTGCTTATCTCAGTGAGCTATGAGTGGGAAATAATTAACATGAAATTTCAAGATGCTTTTGTCATCGCTGCTGATAACTGCAGCTTCTAAAGACCAGAGTACGCCAACCGGTTAAACAAAAACAAATAAACATTTGGTTGTTGAAAGACTCTAGATAGTTCTCTTCCCCTTCACTCTGGTTCTTTTGGCTTGTCAGTTCTTTTTCTAAACAAGGACAACTGCAAACACTGCAATGTTCACGTATGTCCAGTCATTGTACTCTGGCCTCAAGTGCTAAACTTGCCATTTTAATCAAGGTGTTTGTTTTGTTTTTTCTGCGACATCTCAGGTTTCTTGTGAAATTCACCAAACCGGTGAATTTCTTCACATCTCACTGTTCCTCTGAGAGCCAAAGTCCCCAAACGCTTTCACAAACCCTGCTATTGAAACTAGTTCTTATTCCTGTTTTTCCTTTAGTAATCCCCCACCCCTTCAGTAAGTTTACAAGAACCAGTTCATGAATGTTGTTAATATTAGAACAAGAACCAACCAAAAGCATCCTGAATATTCACCAAGATCACTCAGCAGGCCGCGTATGGGGGTGGGGGTCAGCAGGAGGACGCCCTGTCCAGAGGCCGTATTTGGGAAGATCCCTAGAGAGGGAATGCTCTGATGGGAATCCATTTCAGCAGGCTGAGTATACTGGAATATGACTGTGTACGTGCATGTTTACTGTAACTAATACAATGCAGTGTGTATGTGTGTGTTTGTTTTTATTACATGGTGGGGGCCGCAACACGTTAGTACACTTACGGTGTGGGGACCGAAAAAATGTTTTCAGCCAAAATGCATCAGTTGACTCAGGAGACCATGCTGATATGGGTGGTGCAGTTTTTTTCTTGGACCCCACCATACGCAAAAATATGAGAAGTGTGTAGAAGAGGTGTGTGTGTGTGTGTGTGTGTGTGTGTGTGTGAATATACTAATAATGGTAATATGCACACATTGCTTTATTCCAGACTTAGTGTGTGTGCTCACAAGTTTTACAGTGGCTCTGAACATGGCTCAACTAATCAGATTTTAAATTCTGAACTACCCGGCATCCTTGATTTTAGGCTTGCTGGTTAACATTTAGGCCCAATCCCATTTCACTCCTTGCCCCTAGGGTGTCCTGATTTTTGTTGAGATAGAGGGGTAGAGCAAAGTGTCAAAACAGATGTTTTTCAGAGACACACTCCAAACGGATTGTTGTGAAATAGTATGCTAATGTCTCGGTAACTAGCCAGCTAAATTTCCTGTTCCACCTCAAATAGTCCAGCAGTTCTGACGCCCGAAGTGACAGAATGTAACTGCTGCTCCGTTTAAGGTGGAACAGAAAAATTTGAACAAGAAGCTGGCGAATAGCTGACTTCAGCTTCATATCACTGAGGAATTAGGGGTGGGCAATAATAAACAATTATTGCGTCCCCCCTCTTTGAAGGCATATGATTCCCTAATTTTAACTAAAGACCAGCATTGATGTTGCTGAATGTTACCCTCCTCTGCTATCACTGCAGACTGGCAGGGTAGCCTACAGAGCACCACTAGTGGTCTGTTAATGAAGTAATGTTCTTTTTTATTTGAGGATTGTTCCATTTCGCAGAGGAAGATTTCAACCACTACCCCTTTTAACTCAGTTCCAAGGGGCAAGATGACACTCGAAAACAAGAAATGGGCCTTAATGCAGTCAGTTATCGGTCAAAAAGAATTAGCCAAAATTCAAAATTAAATGTGTTTCAAGTCAGTGAGCTTTACGATCTTTGGGAACTTTGGCTACAGATGTGGCAGGTGGTGATTAGTTTGAAAAAAAATCTTCTTTAAAAATATATTATAGAAATAATATTAATGTACAGAATCCAGACTCAGGTACACAGATCAACACAAATGTCATTAGTGGGGCTTGCAGAAGTGACTACATGAAATTTGTACTTAGTTCATTATCAGCATGTTCTCAGAATCTACTGCACTCTCCAACATCTGCAGCAAAACTGTGGTCAACCTTTGATGCTTGACCTTGTCTCTAGAGAGCTGGAGAGAGAGGGAGAGAGAAAGAGTTATTAGCTAGTAAATCTGATTCACAGCCATTGTGGTTGAAAAGCGACAGCATGTTCTTGTTTATTTTAAGATGAATATGCTTGTGGACCACACATGGAGATGCACACATACACACGCACACAAATACACATACTGTTTGTTCCTTTCATTCTGCTTACCATGGCGCATGGATGGATGCACGGATGAATGGAGAGATGGATGGATACATTCTCAAACCTCTGCATAGTAACAATATTTCAACAGATTCTACAATGAATGAATCATGAACACATTTCTTTCAGAGCAGATCAAAGGTCGTCTTGCGCCGAGAGGCAAACCGCTGGGAGCAATTACTGCCATGACCTCATGAACCTTGACCTGTGGGCAGCATTATGATTGCCACCACCTTAAGTCCAAATCTTACGATTCAAAATCTCTCCTTCCAACAGATATCTTCATATATAAACATTATTATGATTAAGAAAGCGCTCAAGGTTGTGACAAACAAGCATTGTCTTTATTTCAGGTGGTTCATTTCTATCCCCAAAAACCTTCTCACAGGACACAAGCAATCACAGACTAAAACTGATACATATCACTTCAGACCAGTCCTGTTTTATCAACATCATCTAGTTTATTCCATTAGTGCCGTCTTTCTGGATCCACATCACTGCAGTAAAGTTTTCATCTGTGAATGTTCCAGTTACAGACATCTGCCACTGATGGGCCAAACCTCAGAGCTCAGAGTTAATAGGCCTGTAGCTCAAGGCTCATAGGAAGCTAAGCAGCTGTTTCAACAGCTCAGCAAGACAGATGTTGATCAAATCAGCTGTATGTGGCCACTTTTCAGTGGAAATCCATTTTAAAAAGCTTGCAGTTGTGTCTTGAATGAATTTCCAAAATAATGAAAACCAAATGACACTCCTGTCTTGGACGGTCATGCAGTGGGCCGCGTCTACAATACAGACCTCTTTCGTTACTCCTATAGTTCTTGATTGTGCAGATAAACATTAAACAACCAGCAACAAACAAAAGCTTCACAGTTTTTTCTTCAAAAACGCTGAGCATCATGTGCTTATGCGGCATGTTTCACTTATTAAGGGTTTCTTAATTGCATCCTTAATTATATAATAAACATTAGTACAGTAATAATTGTTCATGTTTGAAGAGTTTTATATACATACAGATAGAAAAAAGGAGTTTGGGAAGGACAGGACAGACAATTATGTTAAAATCTTGTTCATAGACTTTAGTTCAGCATTCAACACAATCATACCACAGCTTATTTGATTGCTGAGCTTGCTGGGCCTGAACACCTCGATGTGAAACTGGATCCTGGACTTTCAGACTGGGAGACCTTGGTTACAGCTCAAGTCTGGACTGACAAGACCACCTCCAACATTGTGAATAACCCCTCCCACGCTTCTCATAGACTCTTCACTCTCCTGCCATCTGGCAGAAGGTACAGGAGCATCCGTTCCTCCACTTCCAGACTCTGCAACAGCTTCTGCCCCAAGGCAATCAACATCCACCTGAACTAATCTAGACCCATTCCTACATCCACCATAGACCGACCGCACACTCTTCACCATCACTGCGCGCCTGCGCTTTAATTCTTTAATTATTTGAATGCTGTGGTATGACCTCAGTCTTTCTGTACAGTTTACAGTTGACAATGTTTGCACTCACATGCTACTTTGATGCCAATCCATGCATTCATACAGCGATCAGCTATAACATTAAAGCCACTTCCTTGTTTCTACACTCATTGTCCATTTTATCAGCTCCACTTACTATACAAAGGCATTTTATATTTCTACTATTACAGACTGTAGTCCATCTGTTTCTCTGCATACTTTGTTAGCCCCCTTTCACCCTGTTCTTCTGGTGTTTCTATTGTGTATTCCGCACTTTAGTAGAATTTATAAACTTACATCAGGGAGTACAGCCTTTTCACACAAAGCCCCTCAGCTTTGGCATAACCTTCCAGTCAGTGTTCAGTTTTTAAGTCTAGACTAAAACCTACTTGTTAAGTTGAGCATTTGGTAATTAGGTTTTCTCATTAGATAAAAGGAGATCTAGGGGTTCATTTACAGAGTATTATGGTAAACTGGCAGTGTTAGTGCTGTTTCACGCACTCACTTTAGTTTGTTGACAGTCAAACAAATGGGTGACATCTCAGAGAGCCGTCATGTCTTTGCTACCTTCTGGATCTACCTTTTTAGTTAGGCTGTAATAGCAAGACCTGCTGGAGTCACTGCTTGCACTCGTC